AATACAGTTGCCCCAGTGCCTGGAGCAAAGGTATTGTCTTTGCTCCAGAGGCAGTATTGTCACCACTTGCTTCCATTCCCCCTCCATGAGCAAAACCCTGCTGCTCGATTCTCAAAGCACAATATTAGACTCTTTCTAGCTACATAGACCAGTAGGTATAAACAGGGAGACTGAAAATAAACATTCACTGAAATTCTTCAGAGCAGCTTCTGCCAGTTCTTGTTCTAGATCATATAGAAAATATGAGCTCTCAGTCAACAGTGACCAACAGTGATTTTAAAAGAAAATACCTGCTTTGAAATTGATTATTTCAGACAGATTTCTTTAAGTCAGAGGAAAAAAACAAATGTATGCTGGCCCAAACTCTACTTCCATGATCTCTGTGAAATCTGCCACTTGGTTTTTAGAATAAGAAACTTCTCTGCTTTCTGTCTAGGCTACCAGATTCTTTTCTTAAAGAAAAGCCCCCCTTTGTTAGATGCTTAAGCTTTCAGCTTCTACTCTATATCATGAACATAAATTATCATTCAAATAGGGGCATGTTTGAGAATAGAAGGGGTAACTATTAAAAATAATGGCCAGAAAAATGTTATAAACTACTATTGTGTGAGGCAAACAAAGTTGTTTGGTCTCTAACTATTAAGAAGGAGAATGAAATTACGGAGGCCATATAATGTGCTAAGTGATTTATATATATTACCTCAATTTCAAAACCATCCTCTGATGTTGAGGCTAGGGCACACTTTCAGTCATGAATCTGAGGCTCTGTGACATTAACTGAAGGAGTCAACACGTCATAGTCTAAAAGGAATTTTAGGAACTCAGCTCAGGACACTGTACAATAAGGACTATTGATTTAGCTGTCTGGAGGAAATGCATTAGATACACATTTTGGCTGAAAGCCAAATGTTAAAATCAATAATTGCCAAGTCAGATATCACTAGAATAGAAAGAACTGTGGGGAGACAAGATTAAATTTGAAAACTTACTAAACATTTTACAAGTCAAAATGGGGAAGTTTGACAATATAGTGAAGGAAAAATAATTTCCCAGCACCATCCACTGGTGGATTATTCCTGTGGTCTCTGTACTGCGTGTCTGTAGTCCTGCAGACATGCCTACCTTAACTAGACTAACGTTTAGCACACAGTGGCAGGAACTGGGATTCACTGCTCAGCAAGTACCCCAAATCCCGGATCTTCTGCTACTGAAAATGTTTGCCAGTCTAAAGCAATTATTTGACAAGTGTTTGTTTCTTAGTCTTGAAACAGACAACACAGATGAAGACTATAAGGAATTGACTTCTTAAATTTGAATTTTGATTATGGAAGCAAAATGCACATTGAGATTCTCTGTTTTCTCTAACACTGTCTTTTTTCTTCCTATTTGCTATTTATTTATTCAGTCAGTATTTGTTTGTTTATTTATTATAATTTCAACTTTTAGATTCAGAGGGTAGATGTGCAGGTTTGGGTATACTGTGCAATGCTGAGGTTTGGGGTACAAATGATTCCATTATTCAGGTAGTGAGCATAGTATGCAACAGGTCATTTTTCAGTTCTTTTCTTGCCTTCTCTCTCCCCCTGCTAGTAGTCTCCAGTGTGTATTGTTCTCATCTTTATGTCCCTGTGTACCCAGTGTTTAGTTTCTACTTATAAGTGAGAACTTGCAGTATTTGGTTTTCTGTTCCTCCATTAACTCACCTGGGACACTGGCCTCCAGCTGCATCCATATTGCAAAGGATATGATTTTCTTCTTTTTTATGGCTGCATAATATTCCGTCCTGTATATGTATCCCATTTTGTTTATCCAATCCACTGTTGATGATCATCTAGGTTGTCAATATTTATTGAGCACCTTTTTAATGTCTTTGCCAGCATTTCAGGAAATGGAGATACAACAGTGAACAGAAGACAGAAGTCTCTCCCTTCATGGAGTTTACATTCTGGGCCTTAAAGATATAGACAATAAACAAGACTATAAATTAAATATATAGCATATAAATAGTTTTAAGTGCTATAGAGAAGAATAAAGCAGGGAAGGGGGATATGAGGAATTCTCTATTGTGATTGGATCAAAGATGATTTCTCATGATATTGTTTTTGGAGTATTTATTCCCCATGGAACTTTTTGGGGACAGATTTAACATTTAACTTTTGGTTCTTCATAACAAGATGTGAAAAGTTCCAATTTAGGATTTTTTTTTCTTGAAAATCTCATTGTCTAAATGGAATTAAATAACTGAAAATTAATTATAGTTCTTTAAGGTTATTTTGTTTAATGTTTTGTGTTCCAGTATGTAAGATGATTCTAGGAAGACCTGACTTATTTAATATTTTCTGCCTTATATTATTTAAAATTTTATAAATATTCATTGGCAGAATAATGATGTGGCATTTTAACAGCTTTCATAATAAATTTATTATTTCATCATTTTCCTCTTGCAATATTAAATATTCATTTACACTTCACCTGACTGATAGAATTTCAACATAGAAAGCATATAAAGAGGGGCCGGGAATGGTGGCTCACTCTTACAATTCCAGCACTTTGGGAGGCCAAGGCGGGCTGATCCCTTACAAGGTCAGGAGTTCAAGACCAGCCTGAACAACATAGGGAAACCCCATCTCTACTAAAAATACAAAAAAGTATCCAGGTATGGTGGCAAGCGCCTATAATCTCAGCTACTTGGGAGGCTGAGGCAGGAGAATCACTTGAACCCAGAAGACAGAGGTTGCAGTGAGCTGACATCGCGTCACTGCACTCCAACCTAGGTGACAGTGTGAGACTCCATCTCAAAAAAAAAAAAAAAGAAAGAAAGAAAGCACATAAAGAGATTGTCACTCTTTACCCCTAGATTGCATATAAGAATTTTAAATTGCGTATTCGGGTACAAACAATAAATTCTGATGATGCTCCGTGTTTGTGCTGCTCACATTGATACCCTGATTGGATATGAAGGAGACATTCATGATCATGTGATCATTTGTCACATACATGTTCAGGGATGCGAGCAATGACATTGATTTGGTTGTTTGTCTATCTCACTATTTAACCTTCCCAAAGATAAGTCTAAAGCTACAGTTTAACAGTAGATTTTTGCTAGATACTGAGACTGAGGCAGAATTCTTGGCCACCCCTCCTGTCTCAAATTCAGTTATCCCTTGGAAGGAGCACAAAGTGTCACTCATTGGAGTGGCAGGCTCCCAACCTTCTTCCTGTCTGGTGACCAAAGTACTGAACATGGCATCTGAAAGGATTATAACAAGGTTCATTCTGATTCTAGTCATTATTAATTGATTGATTGGATTTTCACTCTTATTTGCTTGTTAGGTTTCCTCAGAATCTGTCTTCCTGGGCATTAGACATAATCAACAGATGAGGGCTTCTTGGCTTAATTGATCTTATGACTTCCCTTAGGAGGGATGAGAACTTGAGTGAGGTTCTAGCAAGTGGCTCCCAGGCTTCAAAAGTATTTACCCTCATGCTGCAGCTATAGCATCATTAGCTATGACTATTGCTGAAGCTTGAATTCAAATAAAAGGCAATTAGATGTTAATTCCAGTACTCAACTCACACACAACTGAAACTTAATGATCTGGCAATTTGAAATTGAATATGAGAAAGGAATTCCTTTTGCTTTTTTGATCCTCTGATTTTATTGTCTGCCACAAAAGAAAAGCAAATAATACACAGCATCAGTGCAAAGCATGAAAAAGGAGGTAGGGAGTGGGGAGTGGTGGCTTAACGCCTGTAATCCTAACACTTTGGGAGGCTGAAGCATGTGGATCTCGAGGTCAGGAGTTTAAGACCAGCCTGACCAACATTGTGAAATCTCCTCTCTACTAAAAATACAAAAAAAAAAAAAAATGATATGGGTGTGGTGACATGTGCCTGTAATACCAGTTACTCAGGAGGCTGAGGCAGGAGAATCACTTGGACTGGTAGGCGGAAGTTACAGTGAGCTGACATGGCACCACTGCACTCCAGCCTGGGTGACAGAGCGAGACTCC